CTGATTGTCCGAGCTGCCCGGACAGGTCAGTCAGTTCTTCCTGGCCGAACTGACGCGTGTACGGACTGAACTGATGTGCGTATGGGCCCCACTATACTAGCCCCTCTTTTGGTCTAGAGTCATCGAGTAGTCGAGTGAGTTTAGGCCGAATTTCGAGGCCTTGTGTCAGTTCGGCGTAGGATCCCCATCTGGCATTCACCCGAGTAACCATCGCGTCGATTCACTTATCCGTCACCTCAACCGTCACCTCGCCTCATAATGACGGTTCTCGATATAAATTCAAAAATAAATGCGCACCCCTTCGCTTTCCTGCCCTGAAGGTTGCCTATAAATAGGCCTCCCAGGCGTCACTTTCACTCCCCTTCTTTCATTTCATCAGTTCGCCTTCTTGTTTCCCAGTTCGCTTCTTCATTCTCTTTTCTTTCGAGAGTCCGTCCGCTCGTCTTGCTTTAAGAGCCCAGGGTCAGTTCGCGTACTCCTTAGATCGGTCTTTCATCTGACCTCCTCTTTTCACCAGTAAGTTCCCTTTCCCTTTTTATGTCTTCCTCTTCTTCTGAACGCTCTGACGTTACCAGTTCAACTCCTAGGCGTAGGGTAGCTCGCCCCATTCTTGTCGATATCAGCTCTTCTTCCTCTTCTAGCTCTTCTTCTTCTTTTAGTTCATCTAGGTCAGAGTTCATACCCTTCCCCGTTCTGTCTCCTGCTAGAACAATGAGTTCGTCCGAGCAACCTATCGAGCTCCCTGCCGAAGCCGCTGAACAAGCAGCTCCAGATCAAACAGTAGCGGGGAGCTCGGGGAGACCTAGTGGCGACTTCGGCGAGGTCAACACTATTCCCCCAACCCTAGAGCAAAAAGATGTCGACGAACTGGCAGAGAAGTATGATATCCCTGCACAGTTCGAACCCAGGGCCGCCCGACCTAGAGAGGTTGCTAGCCGACCTCCTCCCGAATTCGTGGCGATCTACAGGGACCAGCTGGTGGCCAGCCTCTGCCTTCCTATCCCCAATTTCCTTTTTGAGATCCTCACCTTTTGGGGCATCCGCATAACTCAGCTCATCCCAAATGCTGTTCGCTCCATTATAGGTTTTTTCATTCTTTACCGCGTGCTCGAGATTCCTTTTTCACTTGATTTGTTCCGGGCTTTCTTCCAAATGAAGATCAGCGGCAAGGTGCCCGGGTGGTTCTATTTTGCTCGTCAGAGCGGAGCAAAAACCCCCACCCGCGAATTGTTCGCGGGGGCGCCTTCCTCTATCAAGGACTGAAAGCCCCAGTTCTTTTATGTGAAAAATCTAGGTCTTCCTCCCCCGATCTGGAGAGCGGAGACTCAAGTTTCTGATCCCCTTCCTTCCCCGCTCCTTGTGTCTGAACTCAATCCCCTACTCAGCTCGGACATGAGGCTGAACGTGAAGGAGTTCAGTAATGCCCAACTCTAGGCGACTGGGCTGATCCGAGCTAATTCTTCGGATCCGTCCCCAGAAAGTACAGCTCTCTCCCCGGATGAGCTGGCCACCTGTAATCTTCTTGCCCTTGTTTTTGTTTGTTGGAGCTAAGTCGTTAGCTCGTGCGATTGCTAACTGCTTGGACTTCGTTTTTGTACAGTAAAGAGGTTTTTGCAGCTGTTGACTATTGGGGGCACCGGTAGCTCGAGCGCACCTACTCAAGCTCCTTTGACAATCCCGGGCAGCTCGGCACCTGTCTCGCCAGTTCAACCAGTTCCTGCTCAGTCTTCCAAAGTTGCTGAGCCAGGGAAGAAGAAGACCACTGCTAAGAGAGCCAGGGTGGAGATGACCTCGTCACCAGCTCGGGAGGAGGGGTCGACGCTTGACCCTGCTCAGGCCGGTCACTATGGCGTCAACACCGCCGAGGAGCAGTCCCGAGTTGAGGCTCCTCCTAACTTGTGGCAGCACCAGAGCACCTCGCTCTTCGACCCCCAGTCTCGGCTGGTCACGCATCAGCACCTCATGCACTTCTGTCCCCAATGGAAGCTGTCCATTAACGATCGGGCACAATTTCCGGAGGTAGCTCGGAAGCTCGTGCATGGGGCCATCCTCCCGCGGGACTACAACCTGATCAAGGCCATGAATCCCTCTGACCTCCTTGACTATTATTACACAGGAGCAACTCAGGTCGGTTTCCTCACTCCTTTGCTCGCCCTTGTTGGTAAAAAGTTACATTTTCTTAAAACTGACCTGTTCTCTAAAATCGACTTGCCAGATGAACGTGGTCGGCCCCGAACTGGCTAGGCGCTACGAAAGCCTGCTCCCACTAATGAGCGAGACGAGAGCAGCAAATGAGAAGCTGCTAAGCCAGCACTGATACGAACGGCACCAACCTTATGATGTGACCCGTACAGAAAGGCTTGGATTTAGAACGTAGAGACTCACGTTGAAGACGACGAACGCAGCGGATCACCTAAACCCGTTGATCACGTGGTCAACGAATCTCGGTATTTGTAGAGGACGTCACAATCTAGCACGGTCCTAGATTGATAAGTCAATTGAATACCTAAAATATAGATATAAGATATTCAAGGTGTTTCAATGAAACTTTTGAGAGAACTCTCAATGTAATTTTATTAATCGTCAAAAATTGAATGTAAAACAATGACCTAAGGCTATTTGTAGCCGTGACTAAGGCCCAACAACATATGGGCCGTAAGCTCCGGGGCGTTGCCCCAGAGCCCCCACCAGGGGCGCGTCGCCCCCTGGACCCCTGACTCACTGACCGGTCAGCGAGACCCCCCATACTGGCTCAGCGTAGGGACTAACTACGTGGCCCACTAAAGCGCTATTGGTCCTAAGGCCCACATGACCTAGCCCCTTGACCCAAGAACTAATAACGACTAAGGTTCAAACCACAAACTAGTTAGATTTCTTTATTACATTCTACTAAACTACTAATGGGCCATGGCCCAGGCGAACCATGGGCAGCTAATCCTCATGGATGCCCGATAGTAGGACAACATCTCTAGTTTCGTTGAGGCCCTCAATGGCACTTGGCTCTCCACTTGACTCACGGGCCGCACAAACCAATGTTTGTAGTGTCTCATTCAACCTCTTCGCGTGAGTTCGTGTCATAGGCCCCAATGGCACCTTCACTTACTCCACTTGGATAGCTCCCTCAACCTCCTCATCAAGTACGAATTTGCTACAGCTGAGGCTGAGAGCCTAAAAAGGCAACTCGTGCAAGTCCACTCGAACTTCGAGCTGGAGCTTAAGAAGAACGCTGAGCTGACCTCCCAGCTGAAGGAGGAGCAGTAAAGAGGCGCCGAGCTGTCAGCCCAGGTGGAAGCGGCCAGGGCTGAAGGACGCTAGGAGGGTGTTCGGGCCTTTCTGAGGTCGGATGACTTCATGGATGACCTGGCCATCCTGAACACCCCAGTACTACAACACGGATACTCCCAGGCGCTGAAGGAAGTACAAGAGTTGGGTCTGCCCGGTGATGTGGAGCAGGTCGACCGTCTGGTAGAGGGCTACTCACGCGGACGGAAGCTGACAGATCTGATTGCTGACCCTTTGCTGCCTGGGACCACTCCTGAATCCGAACAGGAGGAGGAAGAGTGAGAGAACTAGAGTAGGATCTTAGGGTAGGGATCCGAACTAGCTAATCACAGTTCACTTTTGTATGGGCTCGACTCTCCCTTGTACATTTTTTTTTATGGAATGAAACTCTTTCCTTTGCTTGACACTTAGTCACATTTTTCATTCATAACCTTCTTGCCATAACATCAGAATACACTTGTGCGAACTGGTATTGATCTCGATAAGCACGAGCTGGCTTTCAACCTATGCGAAATAACTTATCCTTAATTGAATACATAGACACTAATAAAAATCTAGATGTGCGAACGACCTGACGTGCATGAGCTGGCCTCCATCCAGTTGAAGCGTAGGCCTTGCTCGAGCTGAACTCTTAATGAAAGATCCTCAAGTTGGAATTATGCCAAGTACGTGGGACTTCTTCTCCGCTGAAGTGTGCTAACTTGCAGTATCCAGCTCGATCTGCCTCCTTCACCACATAAGCGCCCTCCCAGTTAGGATCCAACTTGGCTGTACCCCGAGTCCGACTCATGGTATTCTTCCGCAAGACTAGGTCCCCTGGCTTGAAGGAGAGGTGTCTCACCGTAGCATTGTAATATCGTGCGACATGTCCGTTATACTTAGCCATACGCATAACCGCTTCTTCTCTCCTTTGTTCGAGCAGATCCAAGTTGAGCCGTAGCTCGTCCTCGTTGTCCTGGGTTATGAAATTCTGGACCCTGCCCGAGGGAACACCAATCTCCGCAGGAATCACGGCCTCTGCTCCGTAGGTCAGGGCAAAGGGAGTCTCTTGAGTGGCAATTCAAGGAGTAGTTCGGTAAACCCATAGTATGGTAGGCAGTTCGTCGATCCAACCAGTCCGAACGGACTCTATCCGAGTCTTCAAGTCGTGCAGGATAGTTCTATTGACGTTTTTCACCTGACCATTGGCTTGGGGGTGACCTACCGAGGTGAAGTGTTGTCTGATCCCGAATTCCGAGCACCAATCTTGAAGAGAACTGTCGGCAAACTGTCGACCGTTGTCCGAGACCAGGACTCGGGGTATGCCGAACCGACAAACAATGTTCCTCCAGAGAAACTTCTGAACCGACCTGCTACTGATGGCGTTGAGTGGTTCGCCCTCTACCCATTTAGTGAAGTAGTCAACGGCCACCACCATGTGTTCATAACCTCCTGGAGCTCGGGAGAATGGGCCCAGCAGGTCGACTCCTCATTGGAAGAACGGCCAGGGGCTTTGAAGCGGGACCATCTCCTGAGTTGGGACGTGATGAACTGATGCATGCAGTTGGCACGATTTGCACCGGGCTTCCAACCCGGTTGAGTCCAAGAAAATGGTAGGCCAGTAATACCCTGACAGCATCTCCTTTTTGGCCAAAACCCTTGGGCCGACGTGGTTTCTATAGAGACTCTCATGCAGCTCGTACAGGATGTAGTCCCCTTCCTCCGACGTCACGCCTCAGTCATGGACGCAAGTAAGATTTCCTATAGAGCACTCCATTCGTGAGTACATATTCCCGCGACCTGATGAGAATCCTGCATGCCTCTACCTTATTTGACGGGAGCTCTCCACTGACTAGATGCCGCACAATGGGATCCATCCATGAGCCCATTACTTGAATAACTGCCTCATCCAACTGATCATATGCCCGACCTCTGACGACCTGCACCAGCACTTCCTTGCTCAGCGTGCCAACGAGGTGGAGGCTAGTTTGGGCAGAGCATTATCTTTTATTTCGGCTTCGTGGGACCTGTCCGAGTGCTAATCGTTTGAACTGGGTTCTTAGTTCATGCACCTTGGCAACATACTTCTTCAATGGTTCTTCTTTGACTTTGTAGTTTCCCAACACTTTGTTCACTATTAGCTGCAAGTCGCTGAAAATCTTTATCGACTCAGCTCCCAATTTCCGAGCTATCACCATCCCTGCGATCAGGATTTTATATTCGGACTCGTTATTGGAGGCCCTGAAATCAAATTTTAGGGCGTAGGCCAGCTCCTCCCCCATTGGGCTGGTCAGGAGGAGCCCAACTCCGCATCCTTCTTTGCTTGATGCACCATCCACAAACAGTGTCCAGGTCAGAATGACCCGCCTTGCAACCTCTCCAGCTTGTCCGACCTCAGCAGATTCTCCGGCCTGTCTGGTCTCGGCTGCTCCCCTGGTCTGCTTGGCTTCAGCTGCCCTTATAGCCTGTGTATCCTCGGTAGCTTCTCCAGCCTGCTCGCCCTTAGCCGCGTCCCTGATCTGCTCGGATTCACCTGCTTTTGTGGCCTGTGTGACCTTGGCAACTTCTTCGGCCTGTTCGGCCTTAGTTGTGTCTCTGGTCTGCTCGGTCTGGGCTGCTTTTGTGACCTGAGTGACCTCGGTAGCTTCTCCGACCTGCTCGGCCTTGACTGTGTCTCTGGTTAGCTCGGCCTGGGATGCTTTTGTGACTTGGGTGACCTTGGCAGCTTCTCCGGCCTATTCGGCCTCTGCTGTGTCTCTGGTCAGCTCGACCTGGGCTTCCTGCAATCCGAAAAAGACACTCTCTGCTATAAAATCAACCAATGCTTGGGTCTTGATGGCCGTACGGGGCTGATAGTCGAGATCATATTTAGATAACTCCACAGCCCACTTCACCATCCTTCCCGACACGTCTGGCTTGGAGAGGATTTGTTTCAGGGGCTGGTCGGTCACCACTATTACGGGATGAGTCTGAAAGTACGACCTGAGCTTTCGGACCGAGTGAACTAACGTTAGAACATACCGTTCAACTGGAGTGTATCTGGACTCCGCTCCTTGTAGAGCTCGGCTAACATAGTACACAGGCTTCTGGATTTTGTCCTCCTCCCAGACTAGCACTGTACTGATTGCCTCTTCTCCCACTGCTAGATATATAAATAAGGTCTCTCCCTGTGCGGGGGAGGTCAAGGCTGGCAACTGAGCAATATAGGCCTTCAACTCGTCGAATGCTTTCTGGCACTTAGAGGTCCATTCGAACTGGGGACCTCTTCTCAGAGTTTTGAAGAAAAGAGAACCCTTGACTGTAGATTTTGACAGGAACTTGTTCAGAGCCGCCATCCTACCAGCTAATCGTTGGACCTCCTTTATGTTTCGGGAGGGAGCCATATACATGATGGCCTTCACCTTGTCGGGGTTAACTCTTACTCCGTCTTTGGATATCATGTACCCAAGGAACTTGCCCGACCTAACTCCTAAGATGCACTTCTTGGGATTCAACTGCATCTGCTAGCTCCGCAGGACGCCGAAGATCTCTCTGAAATCGCTGACAAACTGTTCCTGAGTTTGACTTTTTACCAGCATGTCATCTACGTAGACTTCCATGTTGCGATCGATCTGGTTCTTGAACAGCTTGTTGACCAGTCTCTGATAGGTCACGCCAGCGTTCTTCAACCCAAATAGCATGATGGTATAACAATATGAGCCGTATTCGGTGATAAATGGGGTCTTCTCTTGGTCCTTCTCATTCAGGGCTATCTGATGATACCCCTTGAATGCATCCAGAAAGCAAAAGATCTTGCATCCCGCAGTTGAGTCCACCAGCAAGGCCCTGGGTGCTGTGAGCGAGATCCAGGCTTTTTCTTTCTCAAAGGGTCGGCTCCGAGACAGGCGTTCGAAAGTGTTCTTCCGTCCATGACCAGGTCGCGCCTCCCCTAACTCGATTCCTTTTCTGCGTTTGTCATCCCTCAACCTTTCCTGTGCGTCCTTCAAGCGGTTGGCCTCTTCAGCATTGGCCTTCTCATGAGCTCGGTCTAGCATCTCTCGAACGGACTTGGGAGGTTTCTCCATGAACTCTGTGTACAACTTCTGCTTACGCAATCCATTGATAAAGGCAGCCATGACCACCTTGTCGTCTCGGTCTCGAACCTGAAGAGACTCGTTGTTGAAGCGTACCATATACTCGCGCAGGGACTCCTCAGGCCCCTGGTGAACTGTCATCAAGTGAGCCGTGCTTTTGGAAAAAGCTCATGAGGACACAAACTGAGCTGCGAACAGTCGTGTGAGCTGGCTGAAGGACCGAACTGACCTGAGAGACAATCCTTGGAACCACTGACGGGCCTTCCTCTCCAGGAACATCGGGAAAGTCTTGCACCTCACGGCGTTAGCAGCCGTTTGCAGGCGCATCTGTGTCTGGATTGCGAACAAGTGATCTTCTGGGTCCATGGTCGAATCATAGGACTTCATGGAAGGTATCTTGAACTTTGCTGGCAGCGGATAATCTTCGATACGAAGGGAGAGGCGGTGTACCTGTCCGCTTCCGGATCCAACAACAGATCCAGTTCATCGCCTCTGGTATTCCTCTTTCCTGGGAGGGAACTCCATTCGCGGGAGCCCTAGGATGGGCTCCGGGTGATTAGTTCGGGAGTTCTTGTGGGAGGGCTCCAGAACCTCAATCTGCTCAAGCGTGAGCTCCTTCCGTGCCCTCTTCAGTCGGGAGTTAGGGCTCCCTGTTCTAGATTCCGACGGCCCAATTCCATTCGTCCTTGGTGCCTTGTGTTTCTGGCCGGGATGATCTCTGGATTGTCCCTTCAAGTAGCTCACAATGGCTTCGAAGGTAGGCAGATTCGCCTCCACCGATTGCACTAGCTACTCTGGCGGGATCCGCGTGAGCTCAATCCTCTCGTTCTCCAAGATTGGATCTTGACGGGGGTATTGTGGATCACTCTGCTCATTCCCCTTAGATCCGTCCACGTTCTTCTAAGATCTAGTTTTCGGCATGTTTTTGCAAAAGAGAGTAATTGTTTCCCACAGAACGTGCCAATTGATGCGACTGCCAAAAAAGCGGTATATCTGTCCGCCTCCGGATCAAACAACAGATCCAACAGAGGCGGTGTACTTGTCCACCTTCGGATCCAACAACAGATCCAGTTCATCCTGCCTCTGATATTCCTTTTTTTTGGGAGGGAACTCCATTCACGGGAGCCCTGGGTTGGGCTCCGGGTGATCAGTTCGGGAGTTCTTGTGGGAGGGCTCCAGAATCTCGATCTGCTCACGCGTGAGCTCCTTCCGTGCCCTCTTCAGTTGGCGGCTAGGGCTCCCTGTTCTAAATTCCGACGGCCCAGTTCCGTTCGTCCTTGGTGCCTTGTGTTCCTGGCCGGGATGATCTCTGGATTGTCCCTTCAGGTAGCTCACAATGGCTTCGAAGGTAGGCAGATTCGCCACCACCGATTGCACTAGCTGCTCTGGTGGGATCTGCGTGAGCTCAATCCTCTCGTTCTCCAAGATTGGATCTTGACGGGGGTATTGTGGATCACTCTGCTCATTCCCCTTAGATCTGTCCACGTTCTTCTAAGATCTAGTTTTCGGCATGTTTTCGCAAAAGAGAGTAATTGTTTCCCACAGAACGCGCTAATTGATGCGACTGCCAAAAACAAGATCCGAGGTGAACTGTGACTTGTTGAGTGAGCTGACAGGGAGCGAGCTGGCGGGCTGGCGAGATGGTCGAACCGACCTGCAAATGGACAAACGGCGGGGCTAGTTCCCCGGAGCAACTCCAACGATCAAGTCAGTAGAGATATGAGATTGAAGTGATAGTTAATTGAACTATGAATGGCGTACCTTGTATCTTCTCAATGCGTTGTATTTATAGAGTCTTGGGTGGTAATTTCCTTATAGGACAATGAGTTCTCAGTGGAGGGGGACTCTTCCTAAGGCTTCGCTTGTTAGCTCCTGTCGCGCCCCATTTTTTGATAAATAAATGAATTGTTTAAAAATGTATTTTTGTGATTGGAAAATGAATCGTGATTTAAAAGAAAAATGGGTCTAAATGGGGTTTTGAGAATGCGACGATTTGACCCAAAATTATAGTTTAAAAAGGGTTTTTAAAACTAAATACGGAGTCGCCACTTGGTAATGAGTTAAGGTGTACCAAGTCACCTAAAAAATGTATTTTTAAAGAAAAATAGGAAAAAGTAGTGAGAAACCCTTTTTAAACGACTCCTAATCTACGTAAACCAATGAAAAAGGTTCGGGAGTCACATTTGACAAAGGGGAAGGCAAGGATAAAATCCAAGGCACCCCTTTGACCTAGCCAAGGCTAGTTGCATGATTTAATCAAAGATTTTCTTGTTTTAACCAAAGAATTTATTACATTTGGATGCACTACATGAATGCAAAAAGAAGGAAAAAATGCAAACCTAAATTCTAAAATGTCTCTTGTAAGGTTTTTGGTCCCAACCACATGAATTGTGGCGGCCAATAAAGGAAAACCTTATAGAGGTCGATTAATGCAAATGATGGCTAAAGTGCAAGTGTGCAAGTGTATAAAAAGGTGAACGTGTGAAATTGTATGAAAAATCCAAGTGTTTGTGTGCAAGTGTATGAAAAGGTGCATGTGTGAAATTGTATGAAAAATCCAAGTGTTTGTGTGCAAGTGTATGAAAAGGTGCATGTGTGAAATTGTATGAAAAATCCAAGTGTTTGTGTGCAAGTGTATGAAATATAGTGATAAGTGCATATAGGTGTAATTAAGTGCAATTTTGTGAAGTAGAAATCAAATTGAACAATAAGGAAAGGAAAAGTGATGAGGAAATGTGAATTGGAAAAAAAATGAGTAAGTGATAAATGAGAATGAATGAACCTAAAGGAATGCATCAGGTCGGGTATGGAAATGACTACTAACTTTTCGATTTCGATTTTCCCTTTGATTAGAAAGCAAAACTAGCGTGCTAAGGCTATCGAGTAGCCACACTCGCTCGTTTCCCTTATCAGAAGGGGACTCTTCAGGCAAATGTACCCTAACTAGCATGAGATGCAAGTCCTAAAGTGAGGGGAAAGGGAGTCGGGGGCATGCAAAAAATGACAAAACTAAAAAAAATGCATGACATGTAATGAACATGCAAACATGTACTAACGAGGGGAAATCCCTAAGGGTCTAGCGTTGGACTAGCCCATTCTATGAATTCCGACTAGCGTTGGACTAGTGGAAACGTACATTCATCCATTCCATTCATCTACACTACAGAAAGCTAGTAGACATGCCAAACACTCATAAACACGTAGCACGTAACACTTAACATGCTCGACTAGATGCAAAACCTAATAAAACAAGTAGCACGTAACACATAAGCATGCAACCAAGCTAATGAACTTTACATTCACTAACTAAAACAAAGGGGAAGGGGAAAATGGACCAAACTGCTCGCCAAAGCCCTATCTATTACAAACCAAGAGGTGTACACATACCCCATAAAAGAAAAAAACTTAATAAAGCAAAAGTAAATGAAAGGAATGAAAGGAATTTAAGAAATGTAAAGAAAACAAAGTAGTCATGCAATTCACTTAGCACATTGGATCACATAGGAGAGACAAATAAAAGGTAAAAGAAAGTTATACCTCCCTTGAGTTGGTAATCAAATGAAGTAAAAATGGCTTCAAAACAATAAAAAGGTCAAGGTACCACTTTATTTAAGAAAAATTAAAGAAAACATGCAAACACGGGCTCACATGGTCATAAAGCTCTTAAATTCATGCATGAGGTGCAATTTAAACAAAGCATAGTAGTTAATTGAAGCAAACAAGCAATGAAGTTGTAAAATTAAAAACTACCAAGGACCAAATTGAGAAAACATTCAATTGGTTGGGTCATGGTGGAACAAGGGGAGACTTGGGGGGGTTTAATGCAATTTTCTTGAACATTTACATGCATGCATACGGACAGCTTCTTCATTTCTGGTTGCTATATTTTCTGCAAACTCAAACATTTTACTAGTCACCCAAACATCTTGGACAGGGCTTCAAATGCAACGTTTATTAGCTTCCTTAAGACCAACATCATGCCCAAAAACTAATCATGCAAAGCGCAATGAAACAAAGCCAAGATGTGACCATAGAACCAGATTTCTTGTTGCAAATTTCTGCAACTTAAGATGAAGCCTACTGCCTTTCAAACAAAATGTATTGGCAGCTTCCATTTCACACGCAAGTTTCATTTCAAACCTTCAACTAACAAACTTTGAACTAACTCTAAACAAAACATGACTAAACACCTCATGGCAATGCAATTCTTAGAAGCTTTTTCATACAAGTTAATTGAGAAATATTCCACCAACAAGAGAACTTTCAGCAGTCAAACTCCTGCAATTTTCATTAGCAAGCTCTTGCAACTTGCGGCATTTAGTAACCCATGCAGCTCAAGACAATTTGAAACAGAGATTCATGTCCAACATTCAGACTCCCTAGATTCTTATCAAAATGCAAAATTAAACATGCAAACAAAGGAAATC